ACACACACACACACACACACACACACACACCATTTGGGCCTGGGACCTTGCACTACTCTGAGCCCCTTGCAGCCCCCTCCCTCCTCTGGCTTTGGGAATGATGGGGAAGTCATCTCAAATTGATTAGTGTGCTAGTACTAGTACTCGTTTTCGTTTTGGTTTTATTTTTATTTCCGCCACCATTAATAATAAGATAGAGAATAAAAGTTTATCGTGGCAAGGTGTTTAGGGTGTGGCTGTCTCTACCTCCCCACTCCCTGGGCAGCGGTCGGGGAAGAGTGGGATCAATACCCCAGCTGGCTGGGAGTGTCAAGGTGAGCGTCCAGCGCGGTGCAGGGCGCCTGGCAGGAAGACACAAGGCAGAACTGATTCCTGCGTGTCCTGTTCCTGGCCAGGTCCTCAATCCTTCTCTCAGGAAATCCTCACAACGTTTAATAGCCGACCACTCTCGGAATAGTGGGGGTGATTTCGGTGATGCGAGAGGGGCACGGTCCAAATCCTGTCTCCTACAGCCAGGCCCAGCCACCAGAACTCATTCCTCTCCAAGAGGCGACAGAAGGGGCAGGAGGCAAAAGGATTCCGGCCTGCTGCTACTAGGCACATAGATCCGGCGCCCTCCGGTCCCCAAGCGCGACCGGCGGGAGGCCAAATGCATAGCTCCAGCTCTAGGCCTGAAGGACAAGTTCCTTTCTCCTTGGCGGTGGAATCCAGCACCACTCTATCCCGGGTGGCCTGGTCTCGTCTTTCTCCCAGCACCTGCAGCTTCAGGAAGTCTCGGTTAAACCACAAAATGGTCATTTCCCCTTCATTTAAATGAGGTTTTGCGCAGTCCTGAATTATTTGCCCCTGAAATTGAGTATCAACAATTTCTCTGTTTCTACCCTGCACCAGAGCAGTTCTGAACTCCCCAACCTGCGCAGCTAACCGTGTCCGGTAGCCATGAGGTGAGGCCCAGGAGGAGAAAACTCGTGGTTTTGAACCTGAACTGATTTGAGGGGGTCAGGACCTGAGAGTTCTGAGGTTGAGCCCAGTAAGCACCAAAGGCATTGGGCCGAATGTGCTAGATCAGGAAGAGGGCATAGGGGAGAGAGTACGAACAGCAGAGATTTCTGAGACTCTCAGCTCTCCCTTGGAAGGGAGAACCCTCTTCCCCTCCCTCCCGCCCACCCCAAGGGTCTAGCTCTCCTTAGCCACCCAGAGTTGAATATGGCGCCAGCGCGGTAACAGTGGCTGAGGAGCACATGGACCCTATCAGCCCAGCCTGGGGAGCCATGGCTGCGGAGGCCCCGACCCCTTTCCCTCCACTGTGGGGCCAGAGAGCATCCCTGGCTCCTAATCCACCCGTCTAAATGTATCTGTTAAGAGAGACTGACTCAGGCTCTCTAGAGAGAGCACGCGGTGGGGCCACAGGCAAGAATTACCTCCGGAAAAAGAGAAATCAGGTTTAAAAGAAGTGAACTCTTCCTCTCCAGCGGCATGAACACAGTACAGTCTCTGTCTCTGGGAAGTCCTGGAGACCTGGAGGAGGTTTGAGGGTCAGCGCACTGGCAGGAGGATGCGAGAGTGGGAGCAGAGGAACCTATGTAGAAGATCAGGCCTGTCCATGACAGCGTAGGTTTGGAGTAAGGAACGGGGAAAGGGAATGGTTTGGATTAAAGTGGGCACGCCAAAGCCAGGAGTTATGGGAAGGCAGCTAAGAAAGGACTAAGCTTGCACAGTATGCCCAGGACTCCGGGGGTGCGGGTAGTGGGGACGCACCCTGCCCAGTGCTCTCCATTGCGGAATCTGCTAGCCTCTGATCTAGACCTTCGTCGGGCGCGAGATACCAAGAAAGGTTGATTTCCAGACCTTGGAGTCTCTGAGATAAAGGAACGCCACATTCCTGCCTCAATCCCTTGCATACTCGTGATCGGGAAAAGCAACTAAAGCCGCTTCTTCCCTCCAGTAGATGAGGAGGCAATAGGCACACTCAAAGAGGAGGAAATAAAGCCGGTTGTGACACCGTGAGAGCTGGTTAGCCCAACTACCCTTTCAGGGGAACGTCCACCCCACCTCTGCTGCCGAGCTTGGAAAACTAGCGAGGAGTCGCAGTCCGGGACAAAACTCCGCCCCTGCCCCCGTGAAGGCAGCCCTTGGCTGGGGGCGACTGTAGAGGAGTGAGTCTGGGGATTGCGCACGATGAGAGGGGGTGGTTCTCTGGGGTAGCGGAGTCCGCGGGCCCTCGTCTCAATCCCAGCCCCTTTCCCGCAGCCAGCTGTGCGCGATCGGGACCACACAGTCCTCGCTGCAGCCTTCTGCACGATCGGGCATAGGGAAAACCTTACAGTTTGTCGCCCCCTGTCGTCCCCCGGCTGGGCATCGCGGGTTCCCGAGCGGCAGGCTAGGCTTGGGGAGAGGTGGCCCTAAGATGAGATTGCAGAAGGAAAAGAAACGTCTCTCCCACCTCCCAAGGAGGCAGCTTAGCCCTCTCCATGGCCCGGGGACAGCTACTAGTGAGCGCTGAGCGCACAGAGGTAAAGAGCTCGCGGATTCTGCGTTTTTAGTTGGCTGGGTTTGGCACCGTATTTCAACTTGCTCTGGGCGCGGAGTGCAACAAAGTGCCGCTTCCAGGGTCGCGGGAGCCGGTTAGCTGAGGGCGCACTCAGAAACCTGGGGCAAAACTCTTCCGCCTGGGGCTGGACTCCTACCAGGGCAGAGGATGGATGTGAGGGTACCCCAGTGGCCTCGGGCCCTCGCCCAGTTTTTCCCAAGGCAGGGAAAGAAAGAGAGGTAAACTCTGTGCCAAAATCGGGAGTCAAAAAGGAGGCGCGAAGGGGTGCCTGTCCTTCTGGGGACTGGCGTTGGCGGCAAGGGGGGTTACTGGTGAGTACTCCCTTGCTGCACGCCATCTGAGCCGTGAACACAGCACCTGAAACTTCAGACTGCTAACCACCCAGGGATTCGGTGACAGGGCTGCTCTTGGAGCTACAGTCGCCCCCACTTCAGGTCTCCTATGTCGCTTTGATTTTTGGTGGGTTTCGGGGAGTTAAAACAAGCAACAGGCCGGGATGTTCCCGGGGTCCATGCATTTCAAGGTCTCCAGGAGAAACCTTAAAAAGCTAATTTAAGTCCAACTTGGGCATACGGGTGCGCATTTCGGTTCTTGTGGGAAGTAACAGAGAACAGAAAACACAGATGGCACTCCCCGAGGGCCCCGGCCAGGCTTGGGCCTAACAACGAACGCTGGTACCCACCAGCAGCAGCCCGCAGGGGCCGCAGGGCCGGGATCCGGGATCTTCCTCACGATGCCCTAGCCTCAGGCCTTAATAGGCCTGCTTTCCCTCCTGCATGAGTCCTGACTCTGCTTAGGACCTGCGCTTTTACTGTGTTTTTAAGAGCACTGAGCCGTGAGTCCTGTGGTTCAAAATCAAAGTCAAATTGAGTCTCTTAATTTTCTTCTTAAATTTACTTTTGAAGAGAAAAAAAAAAGCAGCTCGGGCTACAAACGCACTTTATGCATCATGTACCAAACTCCACACGTACACATGCCCACCGTTTTGCAAAAAGATCCGCCACACCATACTTAAAAATAATAAGAAGAAAATTGACGAAAAGAGAAATGAGGAGCTGCTAGCTGCAAAGAAACTATGGGAAGAAAAGCTGAGCCAGATCGGGGAGCTGCAAACCCTCGGGAAACGCGAACAGCTAACAAACCAAAAGTTGGCTTGTGCGACAAAGCAACGAAACTCCGCGGGGAGTGACTGCGGCGATGGAAGAAGCGGGGCGAGGAAGGGAGAGGAAGATTGGATTCTGAATTGGCGCCTGTGAGCGCTGCCTCAGAGCGCGAGGTCAGCGCGTCCTCCCTACGTTGTGGATCCTCAAGGACGAGGTGGGGAGTGCGTTTTGCACAGAACCTGCCTCTCCTGACTGGGATACACAGACTCTCCAGACCCCAAATGGAAGGTGTTGAGGACCCTACCAGCTGGCAATGAAACAGAACCCCTAAGAGCGAAAAATAACGTCCTTGGCTTCGCAGACCCATTCCCGCAGCTTATTTTCATTTGGCCTGCAGCTGACCAAGGCGGTCCCAAAGTTGGTTCTTTGCCTAGGAGTGCATGATGTTCACTACCCTGGAAACGTTTATTATCGAAAATGAGTCGGGTCGGCAGTGGTGGATGGAGCACCGTTTCCGCTGACACTGGCCACTACGAACGAGTAATGTCCTTGGAAATGTATGGCGAGAGAAGCCAGGAAAAATTTTTCGTTTTCCTAAAATGAAATGAATAAACAAGAATAGGTGGACATTTTCAACGTGATTAACAAAACGCTGAAAGAGGAGTGCTCCTCAATTCTGTTCAGAGATGTAAGAAAAAAGCAAATTAGAAAATTGATTTGCTGTGAAACCTGCACTAGAAATAAATAGGGGGAAATTGAGTATTGGCAACAAAGATCTAAGATA